TTGCCACGCAAAACCAACACAAAGATGAAAACCCCTGTGATGAATAATACATGTTTGACTGTTTTACTCAAAACATCATGCTCTACATTTCATTTTTTCAAATTGAAAGTATAATTGGGACTTTTGCCTGAAGTGCACATATTAGTGGATACAAACCCCATCACGTTATGGTTAGATAAAGGGAAAAAGAAATGTAATTTTGATTGTGTAGGTTTTTTGGTTTAAACATTACTTGCATTTTTGTGAGCATAAATTTCTTTGGAGCCTATTCTGTCAGTAACTGTGGGAACAGCAGTAGGTGGTTTGAATATCCTCTCTAGTTCAGCAGATTTATGCTTTATGTTTTTTTTTTTTAAATTTATTTTTTATTAGTAAAGAATAAAAAAATGTAAGTGGCTTCAAAATATAGTCTTGTAAACTTCAGAAACAAAAGTGAGATTGCTCAATTAGTTAATTGTTTTACAAACCTTATTTTGAAGCAGTTTAGGGGAGACAATTGGTAAGAGAGGAGCTAGAGAGATGAGGAGTGAAAAAAAAATGATCAATTGTACAAGGATACTTAACAGACTTCAGTATTTCAGAATGCTTCAGGTATTCATACCTATGAAATCTTTGTGTTAGGATTAGCTGACTAAGACAGCGTTTCTGCAGTGTGAATTCCTAAGAGGAAGAATAATCCTGGTCTGAGGTTTATGGCAACTGCAGTTGGAATGCTCTGTATATAGCATGTGTGGGTAGTACTGCTTCAAGTCTATAACTGAAATTAAAGCTGCGATAATTGACTTTCTTCTAGTTGCTCATTCTGTTTCGGGTTCTCACAAAACCTTGTGAGCAGGGAAGTTTCTCGTATTTTTCTACATCTGATTTCTATTCTCATATAAATGATTAAGGCTTAATTTTTCAGAATTTAGCAGAGTAGGATTAATTGTGCAGTAAAATGTTCATGATTTACCACCTATTACTGTCTGTCATAGATTGGTACTGGGGAACTTTGCTACAGCAAGTATCATTTCCATCAGTTAGAATTGGTATGTAATCTAACTATGTGAAACGTATACTGATGTTTCTTCAAGTTATTATTGTAATTAGTGTGGCTTTATCTCAAAATGATGCTTTTTATTACAAATTTGTTGTTACATATTTTCATTCTGAGATTTTTATAATGAGAATATGGTAATCGTTTTCAGGCTTTGGAACTCCTGTATCGCCATCAGTGGACTTCAGCTGATGGACTGGGAGTTTTGATAATATCGCCTACCCGGGAACTGGCATATCAAACCTTCAAGGTTCTGCGTAAAGTGGGAAAGAATCATGAGTTCTCAGCTGGCCTTATCATTGGAGGAAAGGTGCGTCCTTTCTTGGAGTTTGCCGGATGGAAGCATAAATGAGTGCTGTTAAGTGCTAGTTTAGGAAGGAAACCCTGGAAAAGAAAAGTCAGGGAAGAGAGTAGTTAATGGGAACCCATCAGCGACCCACTTGTTTTCCTCTCTGTGAACTCTTGTCTTTTTAACCTTTTGCGTATTTACAGTCTTTCCAGGTTACATGACTGGGTGGACCTCCCTGCCAAGCCTTCCAGGACTATCCTCTTAATCTAGGTTATTCTGAAATATTTGTTGCTCAAGCTGCAAGTGTGAGCATGCTGAAGAAATTGTGATATCTCTGTAGAAAGAGGAAAGGCTGATCCTTGACTGTTCTTTCTAGAAACTATCAATAGGTTAAGCTGGCCTGGTCATCTCTAGTACTGAGTTTCTAGTGGGAGCAACTAGAGCTAAGCTGGTTTAACTCCTTTTCAGGATCTGAAAGAAGAGTCTGAAAGAATCCACCACATAAATATGCTAATTTGCACTCCAGGACGGCTGCTGCAGCACATGGATGAAACTTCATATTTCTATGCATCTGATCTGCAAATGTTGAGTAAGTTTTTTAAGTACTTGAAAGTACTCAGAAATATTTTGTAACAGTTCATAATTGTGTGGAACATTTCCTTGGGCAAAAAGTTTATCCTAGTCGTGGTATGTACCTGAAATGGCATTTAAGTTCACACATGTACAAATTAAAATAGAAAACAAGAAAACCCCTTGCTTGTGTGTACTTTGTCTCAAACAGCTGCTGAGCATGCCTTCCTTAGGATGGTAAGAACAAGTAGGTGAGTTAGTAAGGAATCCAAACCTAAATGTAATGAGATCTGTCTTGGCTAACGCTGACCTTTGTGTTCTGGCCATGGCTCTCCTATTTTGCCTGACATGATAATTAACTATATGGAATATCCATTGCAGTGTGTGTATTTTGGACCAGTTCTAGAAAACACTTTTCTTTGAATTTTAAGACACAATGCTGCTCCTCTCATTGTTTTGTTAGCCTTGTTAATGTTGTTTCTTTTCATCCTTCCAACCTGAATAAAAATTTCAGCGTAATGAAAAGGTTTGCCTGCCACTACGAATTGTGTAAGCTTTAGCTTGAGGAACTTAGAAACAATTAAGAAGCTAATGAAGCTGATAAAATGTGAAATTATGCTTGCTATGCTTAGTACAATTCATGGCAGTTAGACAAGAATTGCATTAAATGTAAGCCCTTTTCTTAAAGCTTTGTCTCTGTGCTACTCTTGTTTATTCCCTATGTTTCAATGCTAAATTCACCTTAGGTACAGGAGAGGCTGTTTTGCTTTGTCACGAATAGTACAGCACTGGTTTATATTCCATGTTTTTGTTTCAGTAATAGGACAGGGAGTTTGTAATTTGCAGTCTGTCTGCAAATTGCTGAACTGTTTACTTGAAATGGTGATCTTTTATGCTTCAGCATGTGAAACTGAGGGCTATTGTGAATAGATTATGGGAAGTGGTATGACTTTTATTGCAGTTTTTTAAAAATACATATTTTATGGAGTACGTGAATATCCAAAGAGAATCCTATACAAATACGTGAATATCCAAAGAGAATCATATACAGTAATTAAGCTAATCTCTGCATTTTAAGTAGGCATGGATATTTATACTACATAGATTTGAGGTATGTTTTTTTTATGTGAATAAAGCTAAAACCAGTTTTTTTCAAACTATCTCTCAATTCAGTTCTTGATGAAGCTGATAGAATTCTAGACATGGGGTTTGCTGACACAATGAATGCAATCATTGAAAATCTACCCAAGAAACGCCAGACCTTGCTTTTTTCTGCAACACAAACAAAATCAGTGAAGGATCTTGCACGGCTGAGTCTGAAAGATCCGGAATATGTTTGGGTTCATGAGAAAGCCAAATTCAGGTATGTTGGGATAATTATTTTTTTCTGTGGGGGGTGGGTTTAAACAGACAATGACCCTACTTAACTGCTTCTCTGATTGTCAGTTCCCTGAATGAGAAGTTACGCTATGCATCTTCTTTCCTGCAGTGTCTGATCCTGTTGTGTGCCTTCCTGAAAGCACGGAATTTCCACATAAGAGGGTACTAGTTCTGACTGATTCATTACAGGGAGGCTGAACCCTGCATTTGCCTTGTGGCTCCTCAGGCAGCTTTGTAGACTGGAAATTTTCTTAGTGGGTTATAGCCTGGATGGAGTAGCGTCCTGGCTGTAGCACTTGCTTCTGAATTCTTTTTTTGTTGTTTGGCTTCCTTGCCTCCTGCGTGTGCATACGCTGTGCAGAACCACCAGGTGTGTTGCACAAATACAATTTTTCTGTGTGCCATTGATAAATCTGGCTTGCCAAGGAAATGCTACCCTATTGGGAAAGTGCAGAATGACAGTCTTGTTTGTGTATTCAGTATTAGGTGCCCAAAGAAAAGCATGTGGCATTAGTCCATGTGCAGTAAGTCTTGGCACTTCCTGATGTGCTGGGTTTACTGTGGACACAAAATAAATTTATCATGCCATACAGTTTGGATCAGAATGGGAGGGCCTTGCGAGAAGTGAAGTATGTGGTCTGCCAAGCTCAAAAAATGTAATGTGTCACTCAATGAAAAATATATGCATATTGGTTTTGGCGCTTTTTTCGTTAAAAAACCTAACTGAAGAATGTTATTTAATATTTTGCATTTCTGTGGGTTCTGTCATCTAAGTGTCAAATCGCTTATGAACATGTGGAATTTTTTTTCCCCTGCTTTTCTATGAAGTATGCATATATTTCCATACCTAAGATGCAGGAGAAAGGTGAAACACAGTGATAAAAATGGCTTTCCCAAGAGCAAATGAGAAGTCATCAGCAAAATGGAACAGCAGAACCAGGCTGAATCCTGAGACAGTTTTGATTTGATTATCTCTGTATTGTACTACAAATACCTTTTTTAATCAGTAGTGCTATCAAAGGCATCTTAAATAAGCGTGATTGCCTGAAAAAATTGTGTGGTTAATAGCCTCTTAGCAGAAGATTATGTACCAGCCCAGCCTGTAGTCTTCATTTTGAGGTCTGACTATACATCTGTTTCACAGATCTCACACTTCTTGTGAAGGCTATTTTAAATTACATTTTCTTAAAATATTTGGGGGAGTTCAATTAGATAATAAACTGAATCAAAAAAAGGAAAGTATTCATAGTTTTAGAATTTACAGCCTTAGTGTACAATAGGTTATTGCCTTATGAAAACAGTTTCCTCTGAAAGACTTAAAAAGCAAAAGGTGCTGTGGCATAATTCAAATTAACTAGCAGCACTGGAGCAGCATCTTGTAATTTCATCCTCCCAAGTGGCATCTTTAATAAAGTAATTTTGAATACCCTTGGTCTGTTTAGGGTGAAGCAGAGGAACTGTAAGATGTGAGCATTTAGATGTATTTCAAGGACAAATATGCCAAAGAATTTTTTTTTTTTAGTTTAGTTTATTTTGTAAAGAACAGAAAGGTGAGTTAATATGACAATTCGGATCTTTACAAAGTCATTTTGCATGTCAGGGTGTAATCAGTAGAAGTACATCAATGCTCTTTTTTTGTGCATGATTAGACTGTGTTTTGACATTGCCTTAAGCACAAATGATGCTTTAATAGGACTAATAGACAAAATTGCATTTTAAGTCAAGGTAATTTGAATGTCGCTACTTAGACATGGAAAGACTTTGGCTTGCTAGTAGTAAATTAATTTAGAAGTAATATCAAAAGTCGTTCCCTCCTCCCCACTGGCTTTTAGTAAGGAAATTGATTCATCTTTCAAGAGTAGCTTTCTAGTGGAGCTGCTAAGATTTGTTCCTCAAAGCGGGAGAACTTTCCAGCCTGACTTTTTTTTTTCCCCCTTCTCTTTTTTCTGGGTATTTGTCAGACACTCTTGACTTAAAAGAAAGGACAGACAGCTCTGTAGAGACTGTATGCCTGTATATTCTTTCTCTTCTTTTCTTTCCCATCTTAATGTTATGGGGACTAACGGTATCTAAATGTACTTTTTGTTTTGTTGTTTTTTCTTTAGTACCCCAGCAACTTTGGATCAGAACTATGTTGTTTGTGAGCTTCAGCAAAAAGTAAACATGTTATACTCTTTCCTGAGAAGTCACTTGAAAAAGAAGAGCATTGTGTTTTTTGCAAGCTGTAAGGAGGTATGGCTTTTCCCCTCCCCGCCCCCC